AAAAATTAATAAATAAAATTTAAAAAAAAGAAGGAAAAGCTAGAAGGCAAGAATGAAAGGCAAAGGGAGGTAGGAAGCAGGGGCCCGTGGGGGCTGTAGTGATGTCTCTGTACTTTCTGTTGTCTTGTCTCATAGGGCTTCATTTCACTAGTTGTTTCAGAGAACTGGTGAGGTTCTGGTCTGTTTGATTTCTGTTTCATTTACTTCTGCCCTTTATTTTTCTACATTTAGGTTTAATTCTGTCTCTTCCCAATGCCCCCCATAGTTTTTATTGGCACATGTTAACTGTACAGTGTAGAAAGTTTCATTGTGATATTGTCATCTATTTGTATAATGTACTTTGATTATGCTCACTTTTTTTCTGACTTTTTAATCTAATATTTAGCACAATTGATTTTAGGCTTTCTTCTTTAGTGAAATACACATTTGAATCTTTCTTTCTAAACCTGACTTTAGCCATAGTGAGGGTTTGTTGGTGGTGGTTTTACTTTGAATTGTGGAAAGATATGTTGTTATATGTACTATTTTAAGCATAAGTAGATGAGTTTAGAAGTGTTTAGTGCTGGACAATCAATCATCATCACTGTCCATCTCCAAAGCATTGTTAGCATCCTATTTTAAAACTCTGCACATTTGACACTTCCCTGCTACTTTGGCTATGAATTTGACTATTTTAAATACCCACTTGCTCTTTTACATATAGTTAGCCTAACACTCAGCTTTTTGCAAAGCCCATCTGTGTTGTAACATGTATCAGATTTTTGTGTCTCTTCTGTTCCTGTGCTGCTCACCTGGATCTCAGTGTCCTGAGTAAACTGTGTGTGTGTGTGTGTGTGTGTATGTGTATGTGTATGTGTGTGTGTGTGTGTGTACATATGTACTGTGGCTTGAACTCAGGGCCTTGTTGCTGTCCCTGAGCTTTTTTCTCAAGGCTACCACTCTACCTCTTGAGCCACAGCTCAAAAGCTCCAGCTTTTCACTCGGCTGGCTTCAAACAGTGATCTCAGATCTCAGCCTCCTGAGTAACTAGGATTGCAAACATGAGTCACCAGTGCCCTCCCTGAGTAAAAATTTTGAAATAAAAATAGGATTACTAGTAGTTAAGGGTTTCAGGTGTTGAACTTCATGAAATGTTTTACTATTCTTTTTACTATTTTTTTTTTAACTCATGGTAGATTTTGAAATGGTTTTACTTCTGGAACCTGGAAATAAGCAAGCAGTGACTGAGCTTTCCAAACTTAAAAAGGTAAGGAATTTTTTTTTCTGAGATGTCCTAGTTTCCAAAACATATACACATTAATGATTGTATAATTAACGAGATTTTTTTTTCAAGGAATTAATTGAAAAAGGACACTGGGATGATGTCTTTCTCGATTCCACACAAAGGCAAAATGTTGTAAAACCCATTGATAAAGCACCTCACCTTAGATCAACTGTAAGTAAAGCCCTCCATGCTTTCTCTGTACCACCATCCCCCTGTGCCTACCCTGCCAGGCTGCTGCCTGCCCACAGACTAGGCCACATCCTTCCTGTGCAGTCTGGACATTCTCTGCTGCTTTTTTCTTTTATCTTTCCTGTGCTTCTTTCCTTCTTTCCTTCTTTCCTTCTTTCTTTCTTTCTTTCTTTCTTTCTTTCTTTCTTTCTTTCTTTCTTTCTTTCTTTCTTTCTTTCTTTCTTTCTTTCTTTCTTTCTTTC